AACCTGGACCTGCATTACTAATTTTCTGTCACAGGCTGTAGTTCCCATTATAAGCTTTTATTACGAAATTTGAAACAATTCCGGTTAATAATGTCAATGTCATTATCAAAATACCGAATATAGGGAGGTACAGTCATGTGGGAGCTATACGATATCGAGGTCCTATATAGCCCGTTTTCAATATCAAAAGTCCTGCAGACCAAACGCATATCCGAGTGAAATTTTGTAAACTTATTTCAATTTGTTCGGGGGCTAGAGTGATTTCCACAGACGGACGGACATCGCTAAATCAACATTTTATGCTGATCAAGAATATATATACTCTGTGGGGTCTAACATTTATATTTCGAGGTGTTACAAACGGAAATACAAACTTAATATACCCTCCATACTATGTATGGTGGAGGATATAAAAAGAGAACTTTATGCCAAGGGGCTTCCAGACCGCTATTTTACGACACGGACAAATTAAGATAAAATCCCCCGAATTAAAGTATTCAGTATTGGATATATAATGGAAAATTTTCTTCAAGAATCTTAAGCTATGATACGGCATCTTTTTATGTCCAAAAGATGTAAATGTATAAAACAAATTCTTGGATATTCATCCTATACTACATTAGAAATAAAGGCAAAAATAAAGTGTGTAGATGTAATTAAATAGCTGATTTCAAATACAGAAACATGGTAGACTAAAGATGACAACATCGATAATATTAAAAAATATTAAAAAAAATCTGAAAATATTTTTTTTTTCTTTTTTCATTAAAAAAAAAGATTGTAAGTAATTTTCTCCCATTTTTTCCATTTCATATAATTTTGGAAGCTATTAAAAATACATAAATAAACATCTCTAATTTCCATAAATATCTACATTAGTTCTTAGACGGTTTCATTTGTTTTCCAAAGTTCTAATTTCTGTTTTTCTTTCAATAAAAATTGTTTTAATTGTTTTCAATTTTTCTTTTTTTTTAATATTTTAATAGAATATTATTATTAATATAATATATAGGCATAGTAGTTTTTTAAGAACATTATTATATTTATACTTCCCTTTTTCAAGATGGTTGATGTTTCGATTTGTTTTTTTTTTTTTTTTTTTTTTGGTTAAAAGTACAATGAGTTAGACTACTTGGTTCAGCTACGGTATATTGGCCCCTAGATAATAACCATAAATATATCATTTAGATTAATAGGAGTAGTAATTTCAATAAAATGGTAGAAAATGTTAAAAAATTAAAATAAAACAGTTTTTTCTTTCAATGTAGGTATGCAGGTTATATATGCTTAAATTTATACACAGAACGTTTGTTACAATTATCTATTACACCACTTGATCTAATTGATTTTATAAATCGTATATTTTTGTTTGTTTTCTACATATTATACTATGGATTCAATTTCTAGTTCCATTATCAATTATATTTTTTTTAATTAGAAAATATTACATTTAATTTCCTTCAGAATTGTATTGCATTAGAGAGATTAATGGCTTTGCCATCTCATGGCCTGTTTGTTCTTGTGGGATGGAGAAAAAATTTTGCTTAGATCAGATTTAATGTGAGAATTTGAAAGTTGACATGCTCAAATTAAATAAGAAAAAAAAAATAAATAAATAAGTCTTCTTATGTAATTCAAGCTAAAACAAACCATGATTCTATATGATTTATTTAAAGAAAACTCCATCATATAATTAACGTCTTTTGGTTTAATGTGCATTTAAAGGTAAATACTCATGGATAACTCTTTATTCAATATTTGAGCAACATTAATTTCCAGCTAAAAATTTATGTGGAATTATTATTAAAAAAGTATCAGTCAGTTTTGCCAACAGATGTATACCCTTATTCATAGTTCAAATATTTAAATATATCTTGACTTCTGTTATGATTATGCAAATGGTTGACCCTCTGAGGAGTATGTTCCGTAGGAATGGTCCAATATTGTCTATTTCGTATCGAAACTAAATAAATATGATATTAATATTGCGACGTGACAGGTTTGGCTACTTTCTTCAATTTATATGAGATATCGGATAATTTTTAGAAAATGTTAAAATGTGCGTGAGGTACCATATATAGTTGACCGAAGTATTCCATTTTCATGCTTCATATAATACAGATAAAAATATTGGTATGGGCAAAATTACTAGAAAATCGAACATTTATATCCAATTATATGCGGAATCATAAATTCCATACTCATCTCAGGTTTCGGGTTAAGAGAAATATTTAGATATAGCTAGTCGTAAAGAATCGCTGTCATGTTTCGCAAGTCATGGCAGATAAAAATATTGAAAATTGTGACCCTTTGTAGATGAGATACCAGAAGGGTTTCGCCGATATATATCATCTTCACAACAGATCTTGTGTTAGCAAAAATGTTGGTATTTGTGTAATTTGAAGAGAGTTGGATGCTTTCCTAGAGCGTTTTGGTTTTCAAAATCTTAAACCCTATGTGTGGGGGAGGTACCAGAAAAAATGTTTCGATCTCTAATAGATCTTGCGTCTATAGAAATATTAAGATGTGCCAAGTCTGACTGGAATCGGAAAATTTCGTGTTTTATGAGCTTCATGGATACTCAAAATGTTGACCCTTTGTGGTAGAGATATCGGATGGAGTAAACCCATATATTTCATCCTTATAGCAGATCTCGTGTTAGTAGAAATAATGGGATGTGTGAAATGTTAAGAGAATCGGATGCTTATTTCGGATTTTATGATCGTTTTTGGTTATTCAAAACTTTTGGGGGGAGGTACCAAAATGAATGCTCCGATCTCCACCATATTTTTAACATTTCTTGTGTTATTATAATTATTCTAAATTTTGACCATTTGTAGGGGAGGTATTTGATGGAATTGGCAGATATAGTCCATTTTTGCATCTAAACTAGCACTGATGGAAATATTACGATTTGCAAAGTTGAAGCAAAATTGCATTTTCGTTTCTCTTTCTGTGCAATAACATATTTTCTTCTGAAAATACCGAACTTTGGTGAAGGAGGTACCACAAGGAGTGGACCGAGGAAAAAAGGAAAACAAGGTTTATGTTGAGTTTGGGAGCTATGCTCGGATTGACCTGCATTTTTTCACAGGTAGGCACTCTTCTACATACTACATTATACTGTAATACTGATACATCTTGATGTTGATCGAAGGCCGGTTACTTTCAAAATTGATAAAGCTTAGAAAAACAATGACAAATCGCAGAGGCTTTCTATTTAATATATCTATAAAGGTTAGATATCTTTTAGTGGAGAAAACTAATATCTTCGGAACTACAAGGTTATCAGAACATTTGTAACTTTGAAAAGGCAAGAGTGCAGGCTGTAATGTAAGATGTAGATTTTCGTACTCCAAAATGGGTTAATTTTCGAATGTTTAGGGCTTTTTTCAGAAAGTTCCGATACAGAAATGCCAATTTTCTTGTATTGACCCGTAACCAATTCAAACAACCTCATCATATGACCACTTGTTCTTCCCATTTTGTATATATCAGTTTTGCAGAACCGGATGAAACCCAGATTTTTTATCCGAAACTTCGTGTCGTATAGCCAAGTAATCGGGTTAATAATACATACCCCATAATGGAGTTAATGTCCGCTACTTTCTGGGGATTATGACCGATTTTTATACCCTCCACCTTGAAACGGAGGGTATTTTAACCTTGTCATTCAGTTTGTAACCTCGTAGACTCCATAAAATATATAAACTGCAACCATCTTCAGACTGCTGTCATTTCTAAGCTACTCGTCCGACAGCTGTTCAAGTTATTCCAGTGACAGCTCATTATATTACTTAAAAGTGTAGAGAAGCATTTTGGTGAGAATTTTAAAGAAACAAAGTTATTCGTGATTGAATTCAAGCGTGATAGTGTGATTTTTCTTTATACTTGGCTGGAAAAACACAAGTGGCTATGGTTAGAACACTCCAGCATTTAAATGTGAATAAATCTTCTGTGTCTCGTACCATCGCTCGTTACCGTAGCCCGACGTCCAGGAAGTGGACGAATAAAAATAGCAACATCAGTAGAAATGGTTCGAAAAGTAAAGAAGCTACTTGATCGATACCCGCGTCGCAGTGGTCGAAAAATGACTCGTGAGCTGAAGATATCGCACTATTCCATTCGGCGAATTTTGAAAAATGCGCCATTGAAATTCTAAAAAGTGCAAGAACTTACACCGCAACAGAAAGAAAATAGACTCAAAAGAGCTAAAGAGTTGCTTCGCTTGGCCGAAAGTGGTGAACTGCGGAGTTTGGTTTTCTCCGATAAGCAAACATTCGTTGTATAGCAGTTTGTAAACAAACAAAATGATCGTGTTTACTTGACAAAGAGGTCAGCTGAAAATGTGCACCTTCGGTTGGCCACCAGAACTCAAGCGCCGGCCATGGTGATGGTGTGGGCCGCCATAACAGCCGACGGTCGCTCTCCGCTCATACTAATCGACTGTGGCATCAGAATAAATGCCGAATATTATCGCGAAGATATTCTGGAGGGTGTATTAAAGCCTGCAAACATTTTGGCCGCAGACCTTGGACATTCCAACAGGACTCAGCACCATCGCACTCAGCATTAGGTTCCTCGCTTCATTTCCAGCGCACAATGACCACCAAAATCTCCGGATACCAATCCGTTGGACTATTGTGTCTGGAATATTTTGGAAAGCAAGTTTGGCACTAAAAAATACCAGTGTGTCGATCACCTTAAGGAAGTGCTTCGCTGGGAATGGGCCAAAATACCGCAGAGCAACTTTCGGGCAGCGTGCGACGGGTTAATTGTAGGTACATTTTTCAATGGAATTGTCTAAAAATCCCTACTAGAAGTTCTTCTACCCCTCCTGGATGGGAATTTTCTATATAGGTCCACGATATCGTATAACCCAGATACAACGTTTCCCCCCCCCCCCCCCCTGATATTCGGTATTTCGATGATTTTAGGGACATTAGACACCGGAAATGTTTGAAATTTTACATTTAGAATTCGTAATGCGTAATGCAGCCTGTGACAGAAAATGTTCTATGCAGGTAAAGGTCTTCGTATAGGCTCCACACATCAGTACCTCCCTATATTCGGTATTTTGATGATTTTAGCCCTGATATAACGATATCTTTCTATATTCTATATTGCCCCACGTCTTTGTAAAGACCGCAATATAATGGCTATATTCGGAATTTTTAGGATTTTAACAGATTTTTTTATTATTTGAAAATTTCCAAATTTATTCCAAATGGAGAGTATTTAAAGTTCGGCCCGGTGAAACATAATGTTTTTTTTTTTTTTTTTTTTTTTTGCTTGAAAATGGCTTTTAAGTTTTTTATGGTTCCCTTCAAGATATGCACCTTCCGTATTTTTAATATTTAATATTTTTATTATAGTAGGGAAGATGAGAATTTTGTAGGCAATTGGGGAAGCCTTATGACCGCTTTTATTATCCATAAAAACTCAAAAATCATAAATAAAAGGAGAATTTAATGAAGTAATTAATTTAATTCGTTTGTGAATTTCAATTTAGGTATTTGGCTTCGCATCACTGCATGACCGTCATTAATATGCTATGCTACGATGTTAAGCTGTTTATGCATCCCCACCTTTACTTAATTGTATTTTGAAATTCATATTTGAAATTCTTCAATATAATAAGTTATCTGAAGACTAATTGCATAAAATTATTGTCCGCAAAAAAAAAATATTAAAATGAAAATTCATAATAAAAAATTTAATTAATTGAATTTGTTTGTTTTAATTTTAATAGTCATTATATTTGTTTGTTAAATAAAAAACTTATATCAAAAACATAAAATGGAGTTTTCTTTAATAAAAAAAAATGTGTGGAGCAAATTTCACTTAAAATAAAATTTAGATATTTTTGCCAACAATTTCAGTCTTAACTCATCTCAATCTAAACAGTAAATCGTTTTTAATTAATATGCTCCATTGTCAGGCATCTACTTAAAAAAATAACCTTGTTATTGTTTACAATATTATTAATTAGCATGTTCTTTCTTTTTGTTATTTACTTTTTACATATGGAAAAATTGGAAAATATAAAAAAAATAGTTTCGGATTGCCAATAAGTTTGGATTTTTTTTTTTAATATATGTATATTTACCTTAAATATATTTACTTATAAGAAAGGATTTGCTTATGTTGCTCTTGTAGGTATCACAATATCCAAATATACAAATATACATCGAAATCTAAATAATCTAGATAAAGACATACACTTTCATACATACACATCTATATACTTAGATATTTGTTTTAGATATATCAGACATTTAACAAATAGTTTGGTATTCTGAATACCCTACTCTACAAAGAGAGATAGATAAAAACATAGATTGTGTACGGTATCAGTACACTTTTACATACACATACATATATTCTTATGTCCTGTATTAAATGTAATGAGGTTGGGTTCGAAAATATTCTTAAATCCTAGTTATATCATAAATGTTCCCTGGTTTTATAATAAAGTCAATGGAACATTGCAAGGTGTGGAGGAAATCAAGTTTCTCCACCGTGATTTCCATACATTTACATATCATTTTTTTCTATTCAATTGACGACGATGATTCTCATACGAGTGGTGATGATTATTAAGTTGTTCAGCATTTGCATTGGTGTGATGAAGATGATGGTTGTCCTGTGACTGATCATTGCTTAAGACATGTTGTACCAAACTTGTTGTTGTGCGTTGACAGCATTCATCGACATTGTCGACATTTTCAAAGTGTTCCTGGGGCTGCAATGGATTTTGATGTAGCTGATGATGATGATGACGGTGGTGATGATGATGATGATTATGGTGCCTTTGTCGATGATGCCGCTGAGAATATTGTTGCATGGAATTTGGGCTCATATGCTCTTGCTGATCATGGTGATGATGATGATGATTTTGTATCAGTTCACCATCGATATCATCATTATTGATATTTTCATCATTATCATCCAGATTTTGTATATGATGTTCTATTGTTGTTCCTTCAACATCCACATCCAAATCCTCCTCCTCTTCCATTTCCTCATCTCCATTGTCATTTTCATCATCCAAGATCACATGCTCGTTACTCATATCAAGATCATCATCCTCCTCGTCGTCATTCTCATGACGTGGACTATTTAAATTGGTATGACTGTGTTGTTGACTGTGAACGACAACAGCCACATTGCCGTTTGGCGATACTCTCTGATAATGATAATTGCCGGGCATTGAATGTATTGTCTTCTCTATGGCACGTAGACGTTTCTCCAGCGATGTCGTGGCTAAAATATCAACCTGAAATGAAAGAAAAGTTAATAATTTGAAAGCTATACAGAGTATAAAATTTAAATTGATTTTCAGACATGTTTTGGGGTATGATTGATTAGCATGTTTGAAGTATCATGTATAGACTTGAAGACTATTCAGAGATAGAATTGTGGAATTATAATGATGCTTTTGAAGAACAAGTAGGGACAAAATCTTTTGATCTATTTGGAGGATATTCGGAGATGTCTTCATAAATTTTTTAACCACAATGTTACGAATGTAACTAGTAGAGTTAAGTTCATGTATACAGGTTTAATAAAACATGTAAAAAAACTGTAAATTCGGCCGGGTCGAACTTTGAACACCCTCCACCAATTGAAAAGAGTTTGGCAATTTTCAAAACAATAAAATCCGTTTAAATCTTAAAAATACCGAACGTAGCCATATGTATACGATGTATAGCCTTTACAATATTTAAATGCGAAATTAAAAAAAAAAATCGGTGAATAATGTCGCTTAAATCATCAAAATATCGAATATAGGGAGGTACCATTATTTGGGGCTATACCAAAACGTGGACCTACACACAATCTTCTGTCATAGGCTGTAGTACCCATTACGAACTTCAAGTACCAAATTTGAAACAACTCCGGTGAATAATGTAACTACAATCATAAAAAACCGAATATCGTGAGATACCCTTATATGGGACCCATACGAAGATGTGGACCTGCACAGACAATTTTCTGTCTTAGGCTGTAGTATTTATTACGAACTTCAAATATCAAATTTGAAACCATTCCATTAAAAAATATCGCTAAAATCATAAAAATACCGGATATTAGGAGGTACCGTTATATGGGGTCTATACGAAGACGTGGACCTGCATAGACAATCTCCTGTCATAGGCTGTAGTATCCATTACGAACTTCAAATACCAGATTTGAAACAATTCCGGTGAATAATGTCGCTAAAATCATAAAAAACCGAATATCGAGAGGTACCGTTATATGGGGGCTATACCAAAACGAGGACCTACGTCGCTCATTTCCAATGCCAAAAGTCCTGCAGATATAATATACATTTGAGTAAAATTTTATCAACCTAATTCATTTCGTTCGGAAGCTAGAGTGATTTCCACAGACGAACGGACATCGCTAAGTCAACGGAGAATTTTATGCTGATCAAGAATATATATACTTTGTGGGGTCTAAAATGTTTATTTCGAGGTGTTACAAACGGAATGATGAACTTAATATACCCTCCATAGTATGGTGGAGGGTATAAAAACTACAAAATAAGAGATCAACTTCGATTTTGTGGAAATTTTAAATTAAGAAACGGGGGGAATGTCATCCTAACAACATTCAAATTGAACAGCCTCTCCCATCTCAAAATGACGAAAAACCAATAAAAAAAAAAACAAATCTTTCACATCGACCACTCACCTTAAGTTGTGGTCTCAAGGGCAACAATGCAATTACCCACCACGCCCAAGCCGGCCCATCTTCTCGACTCGACCAATCCTCCTCAACCACTGGCATTTCACCATAGCTCTGTAATATTTCATGCTTAAGATCTTGTCCCAGGCTCTCATACCATGCTATGGCTTTGTTCAGCACAATATTATGCATACTTTTTACATAGGACAAATGTTCATCGGGTATGGCCTCATCATGTATGTACTCGACTTTAGCTGTTTCATAGCCATCTTTTTCGTTGCGTGCCAAAATCTTAAATCGTTTACAACCCATTGTGCTGAGAATCGAACAGCCATCGCCCAGTAGAACACAATCTCGTATATCTAGCATGCAACCATAATCGTGATAACGGGCCTTACCACTATGCTGTTGAACAATGCCGAATTGTTTGTCACCCGATTCGACGGCTCGTCGTACCATCAGACGATAGCGTGGCTCATAGACGAACAATGGACAGGGGACCGATGGGAATGCTGTGGTACAAATGAATATTGGAACCGACGGTTCCATTATCATTTCTTGGCGAAAACGTTTTTGGTAGCTATCTGGAATGAAACGTTTCATGGCGGCCTCAAGAAACTTGGTTACCGGTCTTTTGGTCAATATCAAGGGCACAGGCGATGAGGCACCCTGTACCATATTTACACTTGGCTCTACCAACGGTGACATGCACAGCGGGCAAGAAGAGGTATAATCCATGCAGCGATCCAGACACACCAAACAGTAGGTGTGGCCACAGGGTGTCACCACCGGTTTCCAGAAAGTGCGGCAACACAAGACGCAATCAAAGTCACTGGCATCAATGAGAGTGGGTGCAACAGATATCAATTGTTTCATGGCATATTCTGGCGAGGATTCTATTTCTAAAAAAAATAATGACATTTTTATATATTCTATATGACTATGGGGGTTTACTTACTTTTCAGTCTCACAAACTCCTGTTGCAAACGCTCCAAAACATTGCGGAATTGTTCACTGCAACGTGCACTCTCCACATCGACAATTGGCAAAAGTTCTGTTTCCTTTGGTGTCCATTTCCGGCGAAAATGTTTTCGTGACGTCTGTCGCTTTAGCTCCATTTCATATTTACGCGCTATGCTAGCATAGGTATAACGTTTATCGGCACAGTTGAGAAAATCCCGACACGACAGGACATCATCTTCCGTCATTAGTATATCACATTCTTTGCCATAGTTGGCCGATAGGAAATCATCCTCTTCGCAGATTGCTGCCTGCAGCGTTTCCTCATCTTGTGCGTTGATATTTCTTCGTTTGATTCGATGCTCCCGGGCTGGAAAATCATAGCCGGGGCACTTGGAACGTAGCGAAGAACTTACCATATCCAATTTAACGCATTTCGGCGTTTGAGAGAGAAGTTTTTGGAGTATCTGCAATAAAATAGAATAAAACATTGGGAATTAGATAGGCGTTTAAATCAGATTTTTGAAATGTTCACTAAGAATGAAAGCTAGTTCGAGTAGAGACGTTGAGTATGCTCTTTTTTAAGTTTTTTTAAGCTGCTCGAATGAGAGCAAGTGAGCTGTGCTCATATTCGAGTGGGAGTAAAATGTACTCGAAATTGGGCAGATTTTACCCTTGCCGAGTACCCTTTTGTTGTATTTCTTTATTTGTACCCATAATCTTTCTCTTCTTGGCTTTTGCTCACGATCCCACCCCACAACAGCATTGAAACCCAACTCTTTAACAAATTACTTTTTTTACTCGATTGCACTCTTAGAATAAACTCTCATTCTCTTTCGAACATTTTGACTCAAACTCTTATTTGTAAAACTAGAGTACTCTCTCTCTCTCTCGCTGTTTCTCTCATAAAAGAAAAGAGTTGGCTGAACTTCTTGTAAAATTCGTTCTGTTCGATTACTGCCGCTAGCGAGGATATTTCTCTCACGAGTAAAGTTTTTTTAAATTTGGAACCAGATGTTTACATTTTTTACTATGGGGCTATGAAGTATGCAGCTATTTTATGCGAGTCAGGAGGGTATGCTCTATTTTTGAATGCTGCTCGAAAGAGAACAAGTGCTCATTTTCAAGTGGGAGTAAATTTCGCTCGAAATTTACTTTTGGCGAGTATTCTTTTGTTTATTGTTGATGTTGTTTTTTTTTTAATACACAAAGTCCACTGGCTCTTTATTGTGCTGTCTTTCTCTTATTGCCTTTTCCACACGATCTCACACCTCACCTCACATCCAAATCCAACATATAAATCAGTAAACAAAGTAATTTTTGTACTCTTCGAGCAAACTCTTACTCTATTTCGAACATTTTGACTCCAACTCACAATAATAAATTAAAAATTCGTACTCTTCGATTACTGCCGGTCGCAAGTAATGTCGAGCACAATCTGAAATTTGGTGCCAGATTTTGAGTGAATTCCTTGTAAAATTCTTACTCTTCGAGCACTGCTGTTTGCGAGGATATTTCTCTCGCAAAAAAAACCGAGCAAAATCTAACATTTGGTTTAAATTGGGTACCAGATTTTTGTATTATTTATTATAGCGATGTCTTCTGTGAGTCAGGAAACATTTTTTACCAAGTAGAACCCGTAATTTTTTGTCTTTTCAGATCCCTAGACAAATCCGTTTCAGATAACATTTATTTGTATGCCCTGCACTCTAGAAGTAGGGTATATTAAAGTTGTCATTTCGTTTGTAAAATCCTGAAATATTCCTCGAACGCCCCGTAGAGTATATAATACTGATCAAAATGAGTTATATCGGTCCACGTTTTCCTATAGGCCCCACATAACGATATATCCTGGTACACATTATTTTAATGACTTAGCCCCTGTCTTAACGAAAGTGTTTTAATTTTTTTAGTTCGCAATACGTTCCAACTACTGTAGAATACAACTGTCTTCATAGATCCAATTTTTCCTATAGACCCTTATATTGGCGTACCTCCCGATATTGTGATAATATAAGCCACGGAATTGTTTCAAATTTGGTATTTAGAGATTGGAATGGGCGTTAAAATCTGTGGCAGAAAATTGTGGATATAGGTTCACGTTTTCCCCAATTTCCCGATATTCGTAGCTCCCGATGATCAATTGGATAACAACCCAGCAAGAGGTACGGTACCGATACCCCCAATATTCAATCGATTTTATTTCCACTTTATATTCGAACTCGTTCGAATATGGACTCTTTTCTTACTCCTTTTGGATGTAGTTTTTATATAAATACTACGTATATAAACAATTCTATTTATATTCAATTCAAAACTATTATCTTAATGTCGCCTTACCTTCGTGAGATCATGCTGAAATAATTCAGTACTGCTGAGATTTGAAGATTTATCCAAATTAATGGCTAAACATATTTCATAAAGAGCTTCTTCGTAGCGACCCAAATCGCTCAAAGCCAAGGAACGTAAATAGTGAGCCTAATGGAGAAAAACGAGAAATAAATATTTATTTTTTAAGGATCAGTTGTATTCTCACCTTGGCAGATGTATAACGTGATTTCAAAGCATTATCCACATCGGCCAATGAGCTCTGGTAATGATTCATTTTTCGCAACACCTCGGCACGCAACAAAAGGCTCTTAAAATTCGAAGGCGCTGAAATGAAAACAAAAGAAGAACAAAACAAACGTGAGTTGGCATAAATCTTTGTCTAATTGCCTAAATGGCCAGAAATAATTCCAACAAATACAATATTATCTTAAAAATAAAAATTTTCAAATAAAAACTAATGGAAAACAAACACTAAAGAAAAGAATTATGGCTGGTTGTGTTTGTTTTTTAAGTCAAAATAAATGACAGGCAAATTATTTGTCAAACTACACCCGCCGCAGAAGAAACGATCGGACACACACACACACACACACACACACCCCACACGGAGCAGGCGGCTGTCAAAATCTTCACAAGTGCAAGCAGCAGCAACGCAACATAATCACCCCAATGACTGACACCTTTAGACTATTAGAGTGTACGCCGCCATCGATCTTTTGCCACTTGAAGCCATCACATTCACATTTTGTGAAAAATTCGACTACTTAAATTTCCATTTATTTTTTCTTAGTTTTGGCATTTTTGCCCATGACAATGTATGACATAATCCATATGACTGTTTGGCTTCTACCGAGAAAATTGCCGGAAAATGAGAGTGTGGGGGGGTGTTTGTCCACATCACCTGTGTTAATGGTTATGACTAATTTTTCTTGTGGAGCTAATTATGTTGCGCTTCTTTTGTATGGCAAGGTATTTTGAGAGAAGAAATATTTGAGTTTTTCTTCTTCGTCTTTGCAATTGGAAGAGATGATTTTCAGAATGATTTTTGAATGATTGCCAAAGTTTGTATTCAACAAGTGTGAATGCTTTTGTTGTTAAGTGGAAATAATCATAGAGCAATATAAGAGTAAATGTCAACTGGAAATTACTGTATTCCATCCCCTCTATGAGGAGAAGGAAACGGAGCTTCACATGGATTTGCCGTTCCAAAAAAAATCTGTCATAAGATTTATCCGAAAGTAATAATCAAATCATCAATATATGAATGTTGCATTAGTTTTGTCAATCTGCTCGTAATTCCTCAAAATATTCAATAGCGAGTGATAAAATTCAATTTAACCGTGCATGTCATTTCAGCTCTCTGTTAGGGTAAAAGCAAGCCCTCAATTCTTTTTTCTATGAAAATGTGAAATGTAAAATTCTATATAGGAATTAAGTGCCAAGTAGAACTATTCAATACGGAGTGAAATGAAAAAAAAACTGCAACCAATTTCAGACTGCTGTAATTCCTAAGCCACTCATCCGACAGCTGTTAAAATTATTCCAGAGACAGCTCATTATATAAAGAATTTTCCAGAAAAAAGTTATTCGTGATGGAATTCTAGCTTGATGGTGTGATTTCTTTACATTTGGCTGGAAAACCACAAGCTCCAGCATTTAAATGTGAATTTTTTGTGTCACGTACCAGTGGCCAAAATGGATCATGGGCTGAACATATCGCAATATTCCATTTGGCAAATATTGAAAAATTAGCTCGGGGTAAAGCCTTTGAAATTCCAAAAAGTGCAAGAACTTACACCTCAACAGAAAGAAAATAGATTCAAAAGAGCTAAAGAGTTGCTTCGCTTGACCGAAAGTGGAAAACTGCCGCATTTGGTTTTCTCAGATGGGAAAACATTCGTTATCCAGCAGTTGGTAAACAAACATAATGATTGTGTTTACTTGCCAAAGAGGTCAGCTGAAAATGTGGAAATTTGGTAGGCGACCCGAACTCAAGCGCCAGCCATGGTGATCAGTGTGGTTCTGGCCGCCATAACAGCCGATGGTCGCTCTAAGCTCGTATTAATCGACCGTGGCATTAGAATAAATACCGAATATTATCGCGAAAATATTCTGGAGGGTGCATTAAAGCCTTAGGCCGCAAACCTTTGACATACCAACAGGACTCAGCACCATCGCACTCAGCACGCGCCACCCAAGAATGCTTACAAAATGAGATTACTCGCTTCATTGGCCAACAAAATCTCCGGATACCAATCCGTTGGACTATTGTGTCTGGAATTTTTTGAAAAGCATAGTTGACACTAAAAAATACCCAAGTGTCGATCACCTCAAACAAGCGCTTCGCCGGGAATGGGCCACAATAGCGCAGAGCAATATTTGGGCAGCGTGAGACGGTTACATTGGCCGCTTGAAGACCATAATTCGTGCCAAAGTTGACCAATTCGAGAAAACCTAAACCTTTTTTTAAAATTTGATGCTATTTGCGATATTTTTGCTTTAATTCAATAAAATTAAAAGAAATGTAAAAATTAGGGCAAGTTCCAACAGTAGCATTTTGAAATAAAAATAAGTGAAAAAAAAAACACCCTTGCAAATGTTGTTCAATAAAGATACAGATTTTGAAATAGCTCCCAAATTATGCTATTTTGAAAACTCTCACCATTATTTGGTTGGACTTAATCCCGAACTTTACGTCTCTAGCAAAAATCCCTCAATAATTGAAAGCATTCAACAAGATTATTCAGCTTTTGAGAAAATTGTCTCTATATAATCTCATTATATGATGGGTAACTTACCCATCCCTTTTTTTGAATTTTCCAGACCTCACAATTCACGTCATATTTACGTTGTCGGATCAACAAAATATTACGATGTATAAAAAAAGTTTCCTCGATTCGGTCATCAGATTATTCTTACATTATAAAAATAAAACATCCCTCCGCCTTGGGTGACGCTCCTAGGGCCCATTTAATTGCATATGCATATTACCACCTTTAAACACTTGGTTTTCCTTGAATAATGTAACGTTACAGAAAATAATGAAAATGATTATTGCAATTTTCCCTGAAACTATTCGATTTCATGGGAAAATCCCCCTTCAGTGGGTTAGGTAACATTTTCTCGTTTCAATTAACAGCCTCTATTATAGACTGTTAAATAAGACTAAACTAATTTGTGTAGTTTGTTTGTAAACACCAGCTGCACACACTGTTAACATTGGAAGAGCATCTTTATAAACAAAGAGTCATATTAAGAGTGAGCAAAGAAAATATAAAGAGAATTTCATCTAATACATTAAAAGAGAACATTTTATGGCATGTCTGTAATTTTACTCTTTGAATTTTTTTATACTCTTTTCTAAATACTTTTAACGTTACACAGCTCAAACTCTTTCTGTTAAATTATAAACAAATCATATTTAACATTTAATTGAGATTTGTTGTGTCGTCATCAGGAGGAACATCGTAATGGTTGTTGTCAGCTGTGCCATAATTCAGATGTTTGAAATTCCATTACGCAACTGGTTTTAATTTTTTCCATATTCTTATAAATTGCCCATATATAATTTCGACATTGTTTAAAAGTGCAATTCATTCAAAATGTAATTTAATATATATGTTAGAGTAGAATATGTAAGTAGTTAAGAAAAAAAAATATACAATTAAAAAAATAAATAAATTGAAAAATTAAAAAAATTTGACCAAAGCAGGATTCCTTCACTTCCGATTCTTCGATATTTTGTATATGATTTTTGGGTTAAGGGTTCTCAGTCATCCAAAGAAATTTCTCAAAACTGGCAGAATGATTTTTTTTTCAGAGACGTTTGAACACAATTCCATTATAATAAAACATTTCATACGGATTACATAAAACCGGCCGATACAGTTATAAGAGTTTATGCCAAAATATGAACCTTTATTTTGAAAGGGCCCCATTGTTATGTAATGGCAACTGAAAATGCCAATTTTGTTGGAAATTAGGAAGTGAAACCTATATATATATAATAGTGAACTTATATTGGACATTTTTGATTGTTATACTCTGAGATCTTGAAAAGTCTAATTACACCTAAAAATAATGTAAAGGCGGCTAAAATCCTCAAAATGCTATAAAATACTAAACAGTTGAACTATTTTCGAATGATACCGCAGGAAGAGATACTGGTCCTAATACAACATTACAATTTAAAAAAAGATAATAAAATTTCAACTGTGAATATGAGACATATCAGTCAACTCTTTCTGATACTTCCAACACAAATCGTCAAAATTTTCATATATTACGATTTCTTTATGTGACGACCTGTTGATACCAACTTCGAAAATTAGAAAGTTTTTTACAAAATTTAGTTCAGGTTTTTATTTAATGAAACCAAAAAACTCTGCAACTATCCGCACAAAGGGTCAAATAAAAATGTGTTATGCCCCCGATTTGGTCCAATTTTAGGACGTACATATTCTTCATCTAGTTTTCAAGAACTTTGTATATTTTGTAGAAATATTATACGAATACGAAAGCATAACAAGTGAAGAAAGATGAAAATGTTTATAAGTGCGGTTGAAAGATTTAGAAGATTTTCCAAAAGAATTTAAGTGTTATGTAATTCTTTGGTTCCTCTTCTATTGAGCTTACGATCTCGTCACTTGGGTAAAAAAAGTTTTTTGTCATAGGAGTTATTTTTTGAAATAGCTCCTGGGGAGAATATCCCAGACAATAAAACAAGGGAACTGATTAGGATTGGTGGCTATTTCCGAAACCTAGGTATTCCCTGCCTAACCCCCTGGTAAAAATTACCATCGTTCTCCACTAATAAACAAACGTTGTTTTTATACAAAAAACAATAATGGGATTATGGGAATGGGAAAAACAAAATACTATGGTATCCCAAACTAACAAGCCAGCATTGTTCTGTTAACTTTTTAGAAAAAAAAGTTAAACAGGATTTTCCAACTATAGTTTTTCTTAAAAACAGAAATATTTTTTCCAACGTCTTTCTGGAAAAAATCCTTCGATTTTGGAGAAAACTTTTTCAAAGACTTTTGACCAAAACACGGGGATTTAAAAAAAAAATATATATATTTTGATTTTTTTCAACCAAGAAATTTTTTCAGGTGTTCCTGTAAAAAATCATGTACCTTCTTTTTGGAATATCTTTTAAGGGCTTTTGAAAAAAAGTTTTTTTTATGAAAAATTGTGATTTATTTGGGATTGTTTGGTAATGTTGAAGAACATCCTGTCAAAAACCTCATATTTTGTTAAAATTTGTCTTAAGAGATTTTGGCCAAAAATCGTGGACTTAAAAAAACAATCAAATAATTTTTTCCAGTGTTTTCAGGTAAAAATAATTTTTTTCGACTTTCAATGACTTCCTGGCAA